CGGAGTGAGCTCCCATTGCTCTGTCCCAGCTCCTGCCAACCTAGCAGTTCGAAAGCACACCAGTGCAAGTAGATAAATAGGCACCACTGTGGACTTCTGGGGTGGCGCCATCGGCAATGAACTGGAGGGACTAGCTCCGCGCGAAACGGGTCTTTTCCGCTACGGCGAAGCGGGGACCCTTTTAAAAATCACAGGCGGATGAAGCCTGTGACCATGGGACTCGGCGGGCACACTTAGCGCCCCCCCAACCCGCAAAGGAACCCACTAACGGGCTCCGGGCGAAGAGGGGAAGCGGCGCGGTGCTGTGAGTCAACTGCTATTTCCGTGGAGCGAAGCCGCACAGCCGTTGCCGGAGAGCGCTGCCTTTTTCCTGGGACAATTTGGCTTCTAAAATAAGCACCCGTGAGTACTTAAACTTTGAACAATTGGACTTTAAATAAGGACTTGCGAGCAGAAAGGAATTGGACTTAAAAATTTTACTTCAATTTGGTACTGAAACGGGAAGGTCTAAACCGGAAGTCAGCCTTCCGTTTCTTTGTAGACAGAATAAAGCAAAGACAATGTAAACTAGAGCTCAGAAAATCGCCTCTAAAGGATTGGCTTTCATCATTTAAAATTGTTGAACCCCCCTTCGGCAGCAGGAGAAGAAGGAGGATCTTTTTTGGACTGTTTAAACCTGCAGAAGTGAGTTTAAAGTAAAGTAACTTTCCACCGTCCTGATCCTGGAGCAGGGTGTCAGGACTGACGTTTGAAGCTCATTGACCAGAGATAAACGCTTTTGACAGATAGCTAAAAGAAGAGGAACATAGTGATTCCACTGTTTCCTTTCGCACCTTAAAGGAACAAATATTGACAAAATATGTGAAAAAAGGAAACTCTGTTGCTAGACTTGTCTTTAAAAGAAAGATCAAATAGAAGTTTTCCCCCTAGAGGGAGACTGTGAAACTGTAACCAACTCCTGGGAGCTGGCAGCTGTTACAGATTACAATCGTGGGAATAGACATCTGACCTTGCAGGACAATGTATTCAGAAGCTCTGTTGTGTGCTTTATAGAAACAAATGCCCTACTGGAACAGCTACATGAGAAGACGAATTTGATGGCTGATTCGATTAGAAATTTTGAACAGGCAGTGGGAAATTTTGAACAGGCAGTGGGAAAACATGTGGAGCCCACCCAGGAATTAAATCAGGAGTGTGCCCTGACAGAACAGGCCCAACAGGAATATGAGCTTTCGGATTTGACAAATGAACTTGGAAAAAGCCAGATTTGGAAAGAAAAAGTTTGGTTTGGTTTGGAAATGGGGGGTTGGATAGACCCTCCTATGCAGGGATGTTTGGACTTTTCAAGTCTGGCAATGGGCCGTGAGATGTTTGGGATTGTGGGGGCTCTCAATTTTGGAGGGTTTTTGAAACATGTTTTTAAATACCACATGGAATTTAGTGTGGATTATGGAAAAGGGGCTGATCTGTCGAGAAGGGTCAAATATATTGCTAAGCTGGAGTTCCCACGAGTGAAACGAGCAGGAGACAAGGGAAAATACAGTTACAAATATGAAGAAGAGCTGCGGAAGGGACATGGAAGAGACTTAAGGGCCTCGGATATAAGGTCACCAGGTTAATGCGCCAGATCGATGGCATAATAAGGACTGACAAACCCGGGACCAGGAGGAAGGGACGCTGGATGAAGATTGGATTAGTTTTTATTTCTTTTTTTCATCACTAGGACTGTTTTATAAAATTGATGAATGTTAGAAAAATGTTGGAATGAAATTATTTGGCTTTAGTAAAAATGTTTAAAGAATTATGTAAGAATATTATGGTTATGAGAAGTTGGTAAAAATAAGATTTAAGTTTTAAGTTCCAAGGTTTTTATAGTAAGATAAGATTAAAATAGTTTAAGGTAATGTAATGACAGAATATTATGAAATATGGAAAGGATTTGCTGTGACAATTAACAACCAGGATACAAGGAAGGGGAGGAGGAGGAGGTCAAGGAAAGAGGGTAATGACAGTTGAGGAGTTGAGAATAATGGATTTGTTTTTAAATGTTTTTAAATTTTTGTGGTGTATTTTTGTTTTTTTCTTTCTTATTTTGTGTATTTGTATGGTTGGAAGTGGCTTGTTTTTCTCTTTTTCTCTTTTGTTTTCTTTTGTAACTTTAAAAAAAAATTCTTTCAATAAATATCATTTTTTAAAAAAAAAAATAGGCACCACTGTGACGGGAAGGTAAATGGCATTCCTGTGCACTCTGGTTTCCACCACAGTGTCCCGTTGCGCCAGAAGTGGTTTAGTCATGCAGGCCACATGACCCGGAAAGCTGTCTGTGGACAAGCGCCAATTCAGCAATATCCTTTCTCAGAGGAAGCCATGGGTCTTTGCGTGATCCAGCAAGCTCTTCTAATGTTCGTCTTACATTCCTATGTGCCTCTTCTTAATTGTTCACCAGTCAAAAAGCTTTCTCCCCAGTTCTGACAGTGGAAAACATATATGGGCAGGTGAGAGGAAGCACTTTACTGCAGGGAACTCCACTCTCTCCAGAATTTAAACTGGGCTATTTATTTGTTTAACCAGGTTTATATACTGCTTAATCAACTTAATCCAGATTTTCACTTGGGGAATATGGCAAGCCTACATTCACAGCACTGTGAGCCTCTTTTTGAATTTTATTTGAACAATTTTTCTTTATTTCTTTCGAATTTATAATCCACTCTTCCATAAAGGAAGCTTATAAAAATCATTCAGGGGAGGGGGAAGAGAGAGAGAGAGAGAGAGAGAGAGAGAGAGAAAGGAAGGAAGGAAGGAAGGAAGGAAGGAAGGAAGGAAGGAAGGAAGGAAGGAAACATCATTTAAATGGGTTGGTTTAAAGCAAAATTCATGATGCAAAGACCTGTCAAAACAGTGCAGTTTTCAGAAGTCGCAAGGGTGGGGGAAAGGCAGGGCTTCAGAATGCTCCATGTTTTCATTCTTGGTTGAAGAGAGTCTAGAATGTGTGCTGGAGGTAAACTATATAATAAAATAGAAACAGCAGCTCTGGGAGGCTGGGAAAGATCCAAAATTGAGCAAAATGCACCACCTAGAGGTCTAGGAAGAGAATCGACTCTGAAGTCTTAAGAAAAGGCCCAGTTTTGAACTAACTGCAGATTGCAGTACACCCAGACCAGACCGCTGGCTGCATTGCATTCCATTCCTGTGAGTTTCCCAGCCTTTCTGCTTCCAGGACTGGGTCCCATTTTTCTTTAAAAGGAAAAAGAAAAACGTTGGATTTGCACCGTTGCACCTGTGCAACTCAGTCACCTGACCCACAGTACCTTCGCCTCTGTTTGCTCAAAACTGGTGGTGGGAGTTGGAAAACCGTGGTGGGCAGCCAGGAATCGCCTCTGCTACCAAGACATTTGGTGAACAGGCAGAAATAATGTGCGTCTCTGCAGTGGTGCAAATTCTGCACTGATGAATAAGGGGGCAGATCTGACCCTCAGATGAAGCTTTGCTTTGAGGGCTTGAGAGACAAGGCTGGCAAGGGAACGGAGCCTTTTCGGTGGTGGTGCCGACCCCGGGGAATTTTTTGACTATCAGTTCTGGGCCTTAAGGCAGAGCTGCCTCATGGAGGGCCAGTCACTATAGAGGTGTTTTGTTTTGTTCTTTACTCACACAACTGGCCCAGTCTGCTCTGGGAACCTTAGTGTCACCAGGGAGCAACATTCCCAATGGGAGACATGAGAAGTTCTTAGATCTGCTGAAAGGCCGTCAGGTGGCTGCCTCCTTCTGAGCTGTTCCCATTGCAACTACTTCATAATGCAAATTTTAAGGATCGGCACTGAAGTTTGCTTCCCCGCAGCTCTTCTGTTCCTGTCTCTTTTGTCTTTGTGAGTCGGCTCTTGTAGATTAGAAGTCTGCAAGCAGGCACTGCCTTGTTTTAATTTACTGTATGTAAGATGCTCTGGGAGCTTTTGGGTCTGAAGAGTAGGGTGCAAATGCTCTAAATAAGAAAGAAAGTGTTAGAAGCTTGTCAATCAAGTTCCTAAGATGTATCCCAAGCAGGAGAAGACATTGAAGCAGCAGAACAGCACAAAGGTTGCTGCTGGTGATGATGATGAAGAAGAAGAAGAAGAAGAAGAAGAAGAAGAAGAAGAATTGTTGTTGTTTAGTCGTTTAGTCATGTCTGACTCTTCGTGACCCCATGGACCAGAGCACGCCAGGCACTCCAGTCTTCCACTGCCTCCTGCAGTTTGGTCAAACTCATGTTAGTAGCTTTGAGAACACTGCCCAGCCATCTCATCCTCTGTCGTCCCCTTCTGCTTGTGCCCTCCATCTTTCCCAACATCAGGGTCTTTTCCAGGGAGTCTTCTCTTCTCATGAGGTGGCCAAAGTATTGGACTCTCAGCTTCAGGATCTGTCCTTCCAGTGAGCACTCAGGGCTGATTTCCTTCAGAATGGATAGGTTTGATCTTCTTGCAGTCCATGGGACTCTCAAGAGTCTCCTCTAGCACCATAATTCAAAAGCATCAATTCTTCGGCGATCAGCCTTCTTTATGGCCGAGCTCTCCCTTCCATACATCACTACTGGGAAAACCAGAAGAAGAATTAAATTTGTATAATGCCCTTCATCTATTTACAGGTAGGTAGCCGTGTTGGTCTGCAGTAGTCAAAACAAACAAACAAACAAAATTCCTTCCAGTAGCACCTTAGAGACCAACTAAGTTTGTTATTGGTATGAGCTTTCATGTGCATGCACAACATAAAAATACAAGGATAAAAACTCCTTACATATCACCCCAAAAGAGGAAACACATCACAAATAAAGAAAAAGGACACTGGTTTGCTTAAAATTTGCCCATGCTAATTTTATATGTATAGATGAGATATAATTACTGTAATTATTTTGAATATTTAAAGAATCTCAAGCTGAGCAATATCGAAAGAGGCAATATCATTAAACCAAATATGCAATATAAAATCAATAAAACAGCGGTATAGAAGCATATTTGAAACATATAAAAATGGCTGGAATAGCTCAGTCAGTAGAGCATGAGACTCCTAATGTCAGGGTCTTGGGTTGGGGCCCCATGTGGGGCAAAAGGCAGGGGATTGAACTAGATGATCTTTGTGGTCCCTTCCAGTTCTACAATTGTATTCCAAGTGAAACTGAGATTCTGGGAATTCAGACGTATTCAACAGGATCCGATTTTACAGGTCAGGAAAAGCCTGGGCAAATAATCTCATCAGTGTGGGAAGATTTGGAAGTGTGGGAAGATGGATCCAAACTACAAGAAAGAAGATTCCACCTAAACATTAGGAAGAACTTCCTGACAGTAAGAGCTGTTCGACAGTGGAATTTGCTGCCAAGGAGTGTGGTGGAGTCTCCTTCTTTGGAGGTCTTTAAGCAGAGGCTTGACAACCATATGTCAGGAGTGCTCTGGTGGTGTTTCCTGCTTGGCAGGGGGTTAGACTCGATGGCCCTTGTGGTCTCTTCCAACTCTATGATTCTATGATTCTATGATTCTATGATTTGACCTGCATGGCATTCCTGCTCACACTGCTGTCCAGGGCATGACTGCTGGTGTACCCAGAGCACAGCTGTCAACTTTCCCCTTTTCTTGCGAGGAATCCTATTTGGAATAAGGGAATTTCCCTTAAAAAAAATGGAACCGTTGACAGCTATGACCCAGAGGTATCAGGGAAACTGTGTGTTTGAACAAGAGGAGTGGTAAAACTGGTCTGATGCGCGCTGGTTATTTTGAATTTCTTTACTGTAAGTTTATAAAATATCAATAGGAAAAGCCAATAATAACTGTTGATAGATGGTCTCTCTTTCCGGTACATGCAGTTCCAAAGGAAACGATCAGTCATTAGATCAGGAAAGTGGAAAAAAATGTTTTTGAAAGAGTTTCAAGAAAAGTCCTGCTCTCATTCATTCATACTCATTCTCTCATGTGGGTTTCCTGTCATTTGGGGGACTTGCTGGTTTTTTTGTTTTAAAATGAAACTTCCAGAATATACTTTCTGTTCAGCTTTTGCAATTTCCCGTGAGACTGAAACATCCACCAATGGTGGCTTGAACCCTCTTCCAAATTGCTTTTTTAAAAAAATATTCGCCTCAGCAAATGAAACCTTCACCCTAGGAGGAAGATCAACTCATAAAGCCAGGTTCCAGCTTCCCTTTCTGTCTGGCTCTCTCTGCAAACTTAATTCATTCAAAAAAGGGGGAGCAGTTAATTCACACACACAAAAAGTTGTGCAAACAGCCATCGGCCGTCTGGCTCACGGATGGTCAACGTTGCACTTCTGCAAAGGGCAGCGTGTGCTTGTCCTTCATACTTGATAAACCCTAATGGCTGCCAAGTCTGTTATCTGCCTATAAGTGCTTCCTATGTTCTTACCTGCCACAGACATCCTTAGAAAAACTAGGAGCCGTGACAAATTGAAGTGGGGCGAGGGGCAATGAAAGAAAACACGGTTTGGTTTTACGCCGGAAATGTCTTTCAAGCTGCCTGTCATCTCCTTCCTGCAAGGCTGTCAAACCAGGGAGAGCCTTTTGAGTTGGCTAATAAATTACCTGCTTCTGTTCAAATGTACTTGCATGCTGCCGACACCTCGATATAGGTGCAGCTTCGAAGGAGGTGTTCGATAGGGTGCGATTTAATAAACTATCGAAGGCTTTTCACCAAAGCCAGACTAAACGTCTTTCCTTCTGCAGTGTTGGATGGCAGGTTAAGAGGAGTTCCCTACCAGGACAGACTTTGCTCTTGTGCTCAAGACATTGATTCTATAAAACATATTTTGTTGCACTGTGCAAAATATGAGCAAGCCAGGGCTGAACTGATACTACCCTTGCTGCTACCTTTCCTGGGAAAATCAGAGGCTCACTATGTCAGGTTCCTACTGGAAGACCAGACAAATGCTAGAACATTAGCAGTGGCAAAGTTTTTATCGGTGGTTGCAAGAACCAATGATCCCTATATTCTGAACAAAATGCTTGTTTAACCTGGAGGTAGGCTGTATGAATTGTGTATTGCTTTGTAGGAATTTGTTGGGTCTCTGGACCATAATAAAGATTGTTGTTGTAATAAAAAAAACTTTTAGCTTGTTGTTAGAAGCGAAGTATTAAACAGCTCCTTTTCTCGCTGTTACAGCAACACGCCAGAGCCAAAAAAACCCCACACACTTAAAGCAGGGTGCCTTTATTTTGAAAGCCCATGTCAATGATTAAAACTGGCCTTTTCAAGAGAAAAATCCCAGGCACAAGAAGCTGGCGTAAAGCATGCAAGTATAAATTAAGCAGGCATAAAGTGAAGCCGCATCCAAACCGCATTCAGCGACAGGGCTACTGCCGCTGATCTGCCTAAGCTTGGCAGAGGGAAAACAAGCCTTTAAGACCGCAAGGAAAGCCTGCAGGATCAGGCCAGTGGTCCATTGAGTCCAGCATCCTGTTCTCACAGTGGCCAACCAGATGCCTGGGGAAAACCTGCAAGCAGGATTCGAACTCATGAGCCCTCTCCCCTCCTGTGGTTTTTCCAGCATCTGGTATTCAGAAGCACCGCTGCCTCCAGTTCTGTTCTGTGCTAAGGTTGCCAGGTCACATGCCCAACTTGTGAAGGTTTCAGTGTAAGGTTTTTTTATTATTATTATGCTTTTTTCTCAAAATACAGTAAAATTGCAAGTACAAAAGGGAAAAAAGCAAAGCAGAGGAACAGAAAAGGGGAAGAAAGGGACAACAGAAGTAAAGGGGAAAGAGAAAGAGAGAATAAATTAAGGAAAGCAAAGAGAAACAGCAACAACAACAACGATTTATCATTTATACCCCGCCCATCTGGCTGGGTTTCCCCAACCACTCTGGGCAGTTTCCAACAAAATATTAAAAATACAATAAAACATCAAACATTAAAAACTTCCCTAAATAGGGCTGCCTTTAAATGTCTTCTAAGATATAAAAGAAGAACTTCCAATTTTCCATCTGCCAGTTACATAGAAAAAGAAAATATGATTATTTAAAAGCTTCGGTCTAGGCAAACAACCATCTTCTCCACTTTCTGTTAAACAATATTTATTTTAAGTCAAGGTGTCTCAGAATCATTTGTTTCTTTTTCCTTTAAAAAGCCCAAGATGTTGTTATTATTAATACATGCTGACTATATTTCGTTTCCCTTTTAATTTTACTTCTATGGATTCCCAAAGGCAGCATGGGGAATATAAAATGGTGGGCATCCAATTTTTTACAGTGAGAGACCAGCGGCCATTTTGGTTGCCGTGATCTCGCGCAATTTCGCGGCACGGTTTTTGGGGAGGAACTGCATCGCGAAATCGCACAAAATCATGGCAATGAAAATAGCTGCCATGCACTTGTGATAAAAAAAATGGGACAACCAGGACGATGGCACCACATTGGCTTCAGTGTGTTGAAGGATGCACTTTTGTACTGTTTGGCCATGTGAACTTAACACGCATTGGGTATCTGTCCGCCACAAAGTGCAGGGGTCGCTTGAACTGGAGGAAACTGAGCTGAGGAGAATTCTGATAATTCACAGTGAAACCTAGGTTACGTACTCCAATTCTCAGGTGCATTGTCAGCAAAACACTTGTATGTGAGAGCCATTTGCCTGCAAAATGAACCAAATAACTGCACCTTATTCAGCCTTAAGACCACTAAACCCATGATGCCCTGTGTTGGCGAGTGAACCGCACACAGCTCAACTTGACCCTATGAAGGAAAATGAAAGGAACGGCAGAGAGGAAAGAACCAACTGAAATTCACATAGACGGATGGGTGTTCTACAGAGATCTTCATCTGTGGCTTAGGGAAATATAACCAAAAACAGAATTCCTGTGGCAAGCTTCACACATGCCGAGACCCCAGTAATGGGAATTTGTGGAATGCTGAAACAGCAGCAACGCTCTGGAGATTAACTCAGCCACTGACGTGTTTCTGTGCATCACAAACTTCCCAGATCCTGGAGGTTGCCGCTGCATAAACGCCGTTGTCTTATTGTGTTACAACAGCAACGGAATGAATGAATGCATGAATGAATGGCTATCATTGGCTTATGGTTTTCATTCATCTTCTCGTTTTCATTGAGGAAAAGAAACAGATGATGGGGTGCCTGTCATTCAGCGGCTTATGGCTTGGTGGGAGGCTGGTGGAGCGCTTTATTTCAAAATGACTTGAAGCCTTCCCCACTGCGTGTGAAGGTTACTTCGCAGCCATGCACAGACACACACACCGTGAGTCAAAAACAGAAACAGTCTTCTCAGAATGAAACTGCTGCTTTTTATATGCATGTGCTCACAGCTCCCTAGAAGGGGGGCCATGCACCCTTTGCTAGCTTGCATCCAGATATCCTCTTGGATATCTCCGTTGGCCAGAAACCAGGTGGGTGTTGGACTAGAGCAGGGCTGGGGAACCTGTGCCACAAACACACCTGCCCAGATGTTGCTGAATTGCAGCTCCCAGCAGCCCAGCAAGCATATTCACTGGCTAGGGGTCATGGGAGTTGTAGTTCTGGAGGGCCAACGTGTCACACACATGGAATAGATAAGGCCCCTGCAGCTGTATGATTCTAAGAAGGCTAGGGGCAGTCCACCCATGAGGTAAGGCGTGGTGACCACCTCAGGCGGCAGAATCCACAGGATCACCAATTCCCAGTGTAGATCTTTATTCAGGGCCGACCCACCTATGAGACATGGCAGGGCGACTGCCTGAGGCAGCAGGAACCACTGGGGCAACAGATCCTGAAGAAGAGCTTTATCCAGGGCCGGCTCACCCATGAGGCATGGTGAGGTGACTGCCTCAGGCGGCAGGAACCACAGAGGCAAGAGATCCTGAAGAAAAGCTTTATCCAGGGCCGGCCCACCCATGAGGCATAGTGAGGCGACTGCCTCAGGTGGCAGGAACCACAGAGGCAAGAGATCCTGAAGAATTATAATTGTTTTAAAGTGTTTTAAATTTGTTGTTGGCCGCCCTGAGCCCAGTTTTTGAACCGGGAAGGGAAGGGTATAAATAAAAATATTATTATTATTATTATTATTATTATTATTATTATTATTAGGAGCTTTATTCAGGGCCAGCCCACCCATGAGGC